ATTTTATCTTTATTTCATCTGCCAAAAACAGACCGGGAAAAAATAACAAGACGCTCCTCCCTCTTCAGACACGCGTCTAGTCTCTGTCCCGGTCTGAACATAGTGCGTCAAACTTGAGGCATTGGGCGCATTTTTGCTGCTCAAAACGCATTCGGTGTGAACGTAGCGTAATACAAAAAAACATGCTGAATGCTAGTCACAACTTATTATTATTTTTTGATGTACAATGCTAAAGATTATTGCAGAATTAACCAAAAACAATATTTACGGAATAAATACTAATCAAAAATTCAAGATTGCCACCACAGCTAACTTTAAATGACTATAATACAGCTGTTGTAAAGCTTATAAAGATTAAATCTGTTGTGGAATATCTAAGAATGATTGTGCCGACTGCCAATGCTAATCCCAAATTAAGCTAACCACTAATGCTAATGCTTATTTTACAAAGGGCTATATTTCAGCTATTTCAAACATACACAGCTGAAAATTTATACGGTACAGTAGTATCAGAAAATTATAATTTTAATGCAAATACAAAATCCAYGATCCCCATCCACTTGTCAATTATTTGGGGGTTGCATCTGGGGTAGCCAACCAAGTGCCAATCTGGCCACCCCTCTTGCTCCGCCCCTGTTGACCGTTGTATACAAGTGAAGCGCCCCTCCAAGAATTTCACAGCATGTAGTCATTTTTATTTAAATGAAGACAGATCGAGTTGAGAGCGATTTTTGAAGTTACTCCTCCACATCTAGATCTCGTTAAACTTGTGGGGGGGGGGGGGGGGGGGGGGGGGCACAGAGTGATGCTGTAAGCGCTGTGTGTGTGGTCCTCACAAAGATAGAAAGACATGTGTGGTTAGACGTGCGATGAAAACTACAGCTTTTTTTTCACGTAGCACGGATGTGACAGTTTTGTAAGCTACTTTTTCTTTTCTTTATAGGAAGATGCAACAGGTGAAGCCACAGCATTTTTACCTTATCAATGATTACTTATATATTAATGCAAGAATCACCAACACAGACACTGCGTGTCACTGGGTGCCTGTTTGTTCATGTTCCAATAAGCAGTGSTGATCAGCAGCGCAGCTACAAGCTAATGTAATGTTCCTCAACTTTTATAAAAGTAACCAGAGTAGTTTGTGAACTCAAAACACCATAAATCCAGGCAGAATGAGCTGCTAGTTTACAGGTCATGCTGGACTCAAATAGGGCTGCCACAAACGATTATTTTAATAATCGATTAATCACCAATTATTTATTCGATTAGTCGACTAATCAGATCATACGTTAATTGAATATAAAACATACAGCTTATCGCGCCAGAATGCAGCTGCTATTATATAACCATGGTTAGATTTTAGCTATATGCTAACTAAAAATAATTGCTGTAGAAGGCAAGTTCTGCCTTGCACAGCAATCTGCAATGCACAGGTTTCTCTTTCATTTTCTTAAAATGATCCCACACTTTTGAGCTCCATTGCCAGGTAGCCATGATACCAG